TGCCTTTCACTGAGGTAGTGGCACCAGCACCTCCACGTAGTTGAGGGGGAAGAAGCCGGACTGGCCGTTGATCATGCCCTCGTACCAGTTCTCGTCGATCTGGTTGGTCAGGGTGATGATGTCTCCTTCCTTGAAGCCCAGCTCGCCGTCGTTCTCGGGCTCGAAGTCGTACAGAGCCTTACAGCAGGGCTGGTCCAGGGGGGCTGCGGGGAGGGACGGGGGCTGTGGTGAGCTGGAGCCCCCGCACGGCCTCCACCGGCACCGGGAATTCCAGCTGCTCCACCAGCAGTGGGATCGTGGCTCTTGCACAACTGGTTCCACAACCCGGCTTTGCCCTGCCCCTGAGCTGCCCCTGCCATGGTGAAGCTTTAACTTGGGTTCAACTCCTCGCTCTCCGCTCTCCAGTTCCTTCATGACCTTGTCCCAGGGCAGAGCCCTGCCTCCAGCACCCACCTCCAGCTAAATTAGACTCCTCCCTGGAAACCAGGTGGTGAAAAGCCACATTATTCCTCCAGAGGTGAGAGAATCCCAGCCTGGTTTGGGTGGAAGGGACCTTAAAGCTCCTCCAGTTCCAGCCCACTGACACGGGCAGGGACACCTTCCATAGAGCAGGTTGCTCCAAGCCCCTGTGTCCAACCTGGCCTTGAACACTGCCAGGGATGGGGCAGCCACAGCTTCTCTGGGCACCCTGTGCCAGCGCCTCAGCACCCTCCCAGGGAAGAGCTTCTGCCTCAGAGCTCATCTCAATCTCCCCTCTGGCAGGTTAAAGCCCCCTGTGCAGTCCAATAGGTGAAGATGGGGTTATTAGACATTAGTACGTGGTGGAGGAGGACCCTGGGGGTCTCTCTGCTTTAGGGGGTCACCCCAGCCTGAGGATGAGGGGTTGGAGAGGTCTGTGACTGCCTCCCGGGGCACAGGGTTTCAGATCCAGCTCAGTGCTGCACATGAGACCCCCAGGAATGGGGAGCAAACCCCAGGCTCTTTCCCCATCTCAGCTCCATGATTTAAGCAGCCTGCAAAGGGAAAGCTGCTGCTTGCTCTGCCCCTGCACTAACCTTCTGGGATGGGCTCTGTGGGTGTAGGGGTCCTACTGAGAAGGGGCTGAGCTAAGAGACCACCCGGGTCTGCAGGGCCCCCATTTCCATCCCCGTTGCCCTGTGGCTCAGTGCACGCCCCAGGGCAGGGGGAACAGCACCAGGGCAGCCCGCACATCTCTGCTGAACAGCCACAGCAAGCAGGGGCTGAGCATCGTAAGAGAACTCAGAAAACACCAGAAGCAGCAACCAAGCACGTGGCTTTGAGACAACTTCCCACAGTCCCAGGCTAGTCCCACCACCACAGCACTTCCCCTGCACCAGGCTCCACAAGTCCTCCTGCCCCTGTGCTGCTCCACCACAAGCTTTCCCCAGCACGACGGCTCTGAGGCACAGACCCCAGCGGGTCACTGCCCCACAGACCCCACGTCAGCCCACAAGCCCGTTGAGGCTCCTTGCTGGGCCCACACAGCACAGAACCTGCGCAGCGTGCCGAGGCTCTACCTGCTCCCTCCAGCCTTCAGCAGCGGGGTACGGATGGGCAGCATGAGCAGGAGCGGGAGCGATCCAGGCTGGGTGCTTGTAACCACAACAGAGCAACCCTCGAGATGTCTCACACCTCGTGGAAGAGCATCTGCTCCCCATAGCCTCAGGCAGGACATGTCTGTGTGATGAGAGCTGCTCTAACTCCTCCAGGTGAGCAAAGCCCCCAGCTTTGGGGTGGTCAATCCCAATCTAACGTGGCTGGTTTCACTTGGGGCTTAGCTCAAGGCTTGGCTCAGCTTTGCTGTTGTGCTGGCCGGGCTCAGCACGGAGGTATTAGCAGCTCCAAGCAGCAGCAGCAGCAGCAGCAGGGCAGGAGGGGCAAGGGGGGGTGGGGGGA